TACAACCATTCTGTTACATAAATCTACTTTATTGCAACTAAACTATATTTTATGTATTGTGTGGCGGAAGTAAAGAATATTTTTAAGCTAACACATTACATTCATCTTGTTTACTCACATATCGGCCATTGTGAATTCATACACAAGTACCTATATGATAAGCTTCTACACTGTGATATAGGACTATTGAATGAGTTGCGCAGCAAATTCGATTGTGATTATCGTACAAAGTAGTGACGTAATTTCAATGGGCTCCGTATTTGGTTCTTAATATTGATCAAAAATATGTCTAAATTTTTAAGATGAAAATCTGACCTTATCTTATACACAAACCCTTTATTTAGGCACAATTACACTAATGTCTATCATTTTCTATCTATAATGTCGGAGTGAAATATAATTATTTGATTTTCAATAGAGGACTATATTTTTAGCCAATATGGCGGGTGGTTATGACTAATCATGGCATCTTGGCATCCTCCATATTGTCTTTGGTTTATTAGAACACCTTGGTATTATTCGCAGGTGTTATACAGAAATTCAGCAAATCTCTGAAATGAAATATGAGCAGTGTCGAATGAGTTACTCTGAATTTGTACTAGATTTGTACTAAACTATCTGTTTGAGAAGTTGACAAAACCTTTACAACGAATCTTCATGCGTTGCTTGACTTGAAGAAGAGAAATAATGGTTACGGCATTTAACCTAAACAGATGACAGCAGAAACTTAGGTTACGGTGAAGTTGTATATCTATATCGTAGGCAAGAAATCTATGCGGAGCACATCAATTTTGTCCTATAAAAATTCTGATGTTGTTGCAACAGTTACTAAACGACAGTTGTATAAATGCTTCTGGTGTGAGCAACCTGTTGGCTAAATTAATAGTTTGCACATCAAAGCAACAATGCTCGGGTTTGTTGTATAAGTGTTACGATGGATACCACAACACAACCATTTTGACTACCGAGCTAATATACCGTATCCAATAGTTGCACCAACGTTTGTGCAACAGTTCTAACTTTATATAAGGCTTTATATAAGTATGCTACAAGAATATTTTATACACCTCATTTTAGAGCAAATATGGTGCAGAAACCAAATTTGCATTTTGAACAACATTAAGACAGCATTTTGGTGGCGACAACAAAAGAGAGCGTTTACGGCTTAACAGTTCTTTTATCAAAAACTTATAGCACCTCTGCCAGTTGGGTAGGTATGTCTATTAACAATTTTCAAAAAAAAAGTTCGTTTCTAAGGATCAGAGTGATCCAAGCTCTTAGCAACTAGATTTCTTATTACTAACACGTAAGCAACCCTTCTGAAATGTCCAGAATCATTTTTTATTGACTTACTTCTAACAATTCCCCAATTTTCTATTGGAGATGTGAAAACTAATAACTCTGGAATACTGCATATGAAATAACCTAACGAATTTAAGTCTGGCGATCAAACAGACCATAAACCAGATCCTCATCGATATATCCAACAATATCCGTATGTTTCTGTTGAAATCTTACAAGCAGCCATATTCGAGTTGAACATGCTGGATATAATTCATGAGAAATCACCATGATGTATGTGAAATAGTTCACCAGCCTATAATCAGAACATTATAGCAGAAACAAAGTGTTTTTACAAAGATCTCGAAATGATAAAATTGAATTCATGTTTAAGAATAGCCCTGTATGTCAGTAGAGTTTCAAGACAGCGGTTGTTATTGAGGGCTTCGTAAGGCCGCGCGTTTCTTCAATATGTTATCGGCATTATGTAATTTGATGAAAGTGACTCTAAGTAATATTTTTGGGGTTTGGCTTTTTCCTCACTATCTCTGATGTATTTTCTGATCTTAAAATTTCTTTGTAGCTATCAGAATTTAGTTTTTTTAACATGATAGTTACCATTTAGAGCTCCATAAAAGAGCTCTTATTCTGTTAAACATTAGTCGATTTAGTGTGATAGAAATACAAATAATCATAAAACGTAAAACAACAGCTTCTTTGGGACATTATCACCACAATGAGAAATATAACATCTCAAACTGTAACCGTCTTGGCTTAAAAATATTCGAGATTGGATTCATCGTTTTTAATTCATGCTGACCGTGAAAATGTGCTGCCGTGACTAGGCAAAAGGCATTTTAGTATAATAAATGTCTGAGAATGGGAGTTCAAAATTCTGGATTTTAACGAACTAAATAAAAAGGATTATCTCGACAGGACAAAAGTGAATGAATGTTGCAAAGTTACATGAGAAATCTAAAGCTAGTGCCATTTAAATGTGATTTCGGATAATAATTGTTGTTGAGGTCTAAAATAAATGTCATTCCGTCTTTAATTGTTGTAAATCAAAAAGCAGTAACATCTGATTTATTGCTTTTATACTCTGCAAAAACAAATTTACTGCATATTAAAGGTAATCATATAGAATCCAAAAATAATTATACAAAACTAAAAACAGCATGTTTTCTCACATGTCAAGTTAAACGAAGAATATATTTCACAATAATTATTTCGGAGCAAAAGTAATTATTTATTACGATAAACGCTTATTCACGCATAATATAATTATTACATCAAAAATTAAATAAGTAAAGATCATAATATTTTATAAAATAAATACAGATAATAAAATCAGCATAGTTTGAAGACTACTGCTTTTTTGCTTTGATAAATTGAATTGGTGTTTTTATGTTAAGTAAATGTAGTTAATATGAAATATTTGGCAAAGTGAAGAATTAGCTATTTCTGTTGCATACCGTGATCAATGATATATTTTGTCATTGTATCATAAAAGAAATGTATTGGCATCTAAATTTAAAAAAAGGAAGTACTTGAACATTTTACCTAAGTATGGCAGTGAGCCTGTGATGGGCAATTTGACGTTATGGTTAAAAGATACGCACTCGGGTTATAAATCGAGCAGTTTTTTGTAAAAACTTGTTTGACTTCAAAGAACTACCAACAGTTAGTAGACGGAAGTGTTTTGTTCACCCAATCGGGAAAGTATCTAGGAAGACTCTATGAGGTCATACAAAATTGACTCAGGGGCGGAGCTAAAGATAACAAACACATTTGTCTCATACCGATACAGCTCAGTAGCTATTCAGCAATTAATAAAGGTTTAGTTCGGGATCATTGATATAGAATCTCTAAGGCATACGATGTAACGTCTTTGGATATAGTCAGATTCATCGTATAAATCTGTCAAAGTGACACGAGTTTATGTTTTATACAATTTAGTCGAATTTAGCTAAGAATATTAGTAAATAAACTTTGTTTTTTGGGCGCAGGAGGCTACTTCGGGTATAGGATAACTGAGAGAAAGTAGTCCTGGTCTCTTACTTACCGGTAAACTGTAGGTATTCCTGGACACTAAGACAGCCATTCCTCGATAGGCCCAGCTATAGGGAGATTCTGTGTAAGGAAATGCTACAATTTTTGTAACAGCAAATTTTTTTGGTGGTATCGTTAGATTATTGCTTACTAATGAAAAATTATAGATTGTGTCTATTTTCTTATATAGAATCGATGGTTTTTGAAGTTTTCATTCAAACGCGTTTATCAAATCAATCTAATGATACCACCCAAAAAGTTTACTGTCCCAAAATTGTTGGAAAAAATTACCCATTTTCTGGCCTACCAAATCATTCTCGGGAGAAAAGGTGCAGAAGTTTAGCCGTCGTCCATGAGGCTCGTTTCTAAAGGCGATGCAAACTTTGTGATCAAATGTTTAATGATACGAACACTTACTCATACATTTTATTAGTAGTAGAACTAGCATTCAATCATATCATCTGTTTACATTTCCTAGTATTTTTATACTTGAAGCGTGTTTATTTGTAGAAAAGAAATATAATGAGGCATTCCTGCGTTGCCTGAAACTATTAAGAAAGTTCTAAGGTCCAAATCATATATAAGGACACAATCATAACTATGATAAGTTTATATAAATTGAAAATCAGCAAACATACAACCTTCGCAACAAAACGGCATATCTGTCCCTAATTAAAATCTAAGCACTTATCGTAAAAGTCCTGAGGAAGTATGTGTCCTGACGTATATGATCGACTACGTAATGATAGCAAAACCTTGGTCGCTACTAACTCTTTATTATTCAATTAATGATTTTGTCGTTTGCTTTTAATTACAAAGTTGTAAGTGCTCAGAAGTAAACTTTTCAGTATAGAGATTTGAAAACTCGGACATGCTTATCTATGTAATATGTAAATTAATGTAGACAATTTTTTTTATTTTTATTATAGTCATATTTGGCATAGAAAAAATCATTAAAAAAATGTATTATAACATCACATATCAGAAATATATTTATTCAAAAAAAAAAACATACAATTATGTTAGTCTGAACTGAAAATGAAAATGTATTTTATATCACATACAATTTAATATTAATTCTAATATTTCACAAAACAATAATGATTTAAGATTATTATAAAAAAAATATAATTTGAGAATTGCCTTATAATATTCACAATCCACTTGTGGCATATGCCTCATCATTGCTTTAATGGCCGCCACCTTCTCAGCAGACAGGTAATTTTTGGCTTCTGCAGGTTTTGGGAGAACCATTATAGCTAATGCCCCTGATATAGTTATATTAACAGGTCTCTGAGCAACTTTTACCCATGTTTCTGCATGGGATGTTTTATAACTCAATTGAGAAAACGACTATGTGAAAGTTAGAGCTGTTATTTTAGCAAACGGTACTTTTTTGTAATCAAAAAATGCTGTAAAAGCCTTAAAGTCTTTAAAATTCGTAACTTTCATTTGTATTATGCAGTATGGCTTCTTTGTATTAACTTTTAATAGAAGTCGTATTAATGATATCGGAGAGAAGTATTCAGATTTATTAAGAACTCTCTCGATACAACTATGTACATTATATATTTCTTGTACATAAGGATGTCCTGGCGTTGAAAATTTGATGGTAATGTTCAATACTTTTGGATGGGTTTTCATTATATATGCTATTGAGTAAGACATCAATGAGTTTCTATTTTGTGGACTGCTAATATCTGGATTGTCAATGAGTACCCGGTCCAAAATAGTTATAACTGAGCTAGCAATATCATTACCACTTCGTGCCATCAAGAGTATTGCAGTCAGATTATATACATTAAACTTGCTTCTGTAGTAGAAATTACTAATCTCTGCGCGAGGACATGATAAAACATTTTGTAAATCAAAACAGAGCATTTATGTATTCAAATTTCCTTTATCTTTTTGCCTTTCCTCGCGGCAAGCTGCCTTTTCTGTAGAATGATTTATAAACTGTACATTTTTCTCATTTGTCAATCTATCTTCTCTTTTCAATAGTTTAATTTCCTCACACAAGTCACATTGGTCCTTTTTTGGAATATGGAAATGGAGATTGTAATCATTGCAAAAAATATGTCTGTAGAAAGACTCTTTTACTGGTTGTCTGTTCTCAGCTTCACATCTTTCAACATACATGTCATACATTTTCTTGATACTTAAGGATGACTCCAAATATTCTCTAGTACTGGTACTGCGGCAGTAGTGGGATTCTACTTTTGGGAGGCTCTCTATGTGCATTTTAACAAATATTTTATCTGCTTCTTGTTTGTGTTTCTTGCTTGGGTACCTTTTTTCGTAGTGTTTGATTCTGTTTCTTTGTTTGAATGAGCATTGTATATTGGGGTCTGGCTTATATTAAGTGTTCGCAAATAAAATAATTTACAGACTTGAATTCTGTTAGAACCTACATTAAAGAAATAATGAAAAGTAAACTTTCGACGACTATTATTCTTTCCTTTCCTTTTCAACGTCTCTGCACAGGAAACTTTTGCGTTGTTGAGATCAAGTTTTTTTGTTTGAACATCAGGTTTGTAATAATTTTCAAATATTTTGTTCCGTTCATCAGCTGTAATTAATTTTTGGCAGCTATATAGACAATTATTTAGGTAGTTCTTTTTGTCTAATAGCCTTTGCTGGAACATGTTTTTTCTTACGGATAAGTATTCCTTCCATGAATCATGGGCCTTTTTTCTTATATTAATCTGCCAAGTCGATGGATTCCTTTTTCGTTTTCGAGTCATTGTCTTATTCTGCTCCACCTCAACTCTATAATTTCCCTTGTTTTCTGAACTAGAAATAATTCCAAATCACTATAAATAGAAAGCCTTACGATATAGTTATCATAACAAACCCGCTCTCAGAAGATGTTTCTGGTAAGTATTCTCTATCCCTATCGGAGTCGTAACCTTCTAAACCAACTATAGACTCATTTTCTCTGTCCGTTATTAATAAGGGGCTTTGTTGACTTGTGCCACTCACACTAGCTGTACCTGCAATTTCCCTAAAACACTAGGAGTATGTTTTTGATGAATTTTTAATGTCCTTTTATAAGTATGCATTTCTAACCTCTTTCGGCACTGTGTCCTTATTTCTCTTTGGTGAACTGTTTTCAGATCGTCTTCACTACCAGACGAACCATTATTCATTTTAAAACTGCTTCACTTGATTTAAAGAACAAACACTGCCAGAATATATGCCTAAAATAATCAAAGAATGGACGTATCACCGACGTCTACGCTTCTTGACTCGCACATGCAACTCTTTTTGAAATGCCAGGGCATGCTCAGAATGACAAAATTGTATGTGTACACATACAATTATGTTATATTATCCAATCGATTATAAAACGTGCAACTATGTAAGCATGGTTGCCTACTCTTGAAATTTGAGCAAATGCTTCTGTTACTCTGTAAACTCATAGAAAAAGGCACATACAACTTTGTTATTACAAAACCTTAATTTTCGTAAAAATGTTACATACCACTTTGTAATTCTAATCAAACGTTGTATCGATTTCGATTATTATTATGTATTGCTCTTATAACCTCATATTGCATTTATTATTATTATTATATTATGCTTAATCCAGGTTTGCACCAGAGGATGTAAGCATTTTGAAGGCAACTACCAATTTTGCAGGTTACAATGTCGAGTTTTCGCCTGCCAGGACCCTGTGGTACCAATAGCTAGGTATCGGTACAATCATAACTGTATTCATTTCCCACACCCGCTTTATTTCTTCTGACAGCGGTAAATACTTGTTAGTTTTTTCTGAGTAGGTACTTTGAAGATTGACAGAGAGCGGAACCGCGATATCTATAATGTATGTTATCTTTTGTTCTTTTAATGTTAGCACTATGTCAGGGATGTTATTTGGTATTGTGCGATCAATAATTATTTTCCCGTTCCAATAAATATTATTATTATTATTATTCTGCCGAAAATAGATGCGTTCATTAATGTATCTCATAAGCATCAAAATACGCGTCGAAAGCTGGCAGATCAGCTAATGGAACACTTTCCACTAGTTCCTTTACTCCCTCATCGCAAGAATTGGGTCTCTGTTGGTATCAGAAAATCGTTAAGCATAAGGTCAAGATGCAGGACGGAACTAAGGTCTTCCTATTTGCTACATTGCTATTGGCACTCCTACTGGTGTATATGTCGTGGCAATATCGTAAAATTGACCATTTCATGAAATGCCCTACTGAGCGAGGGTTGATGCCCTACTGAGCGAGGGCCGTGGCAAATGCTTGTTCCGGAAGTTGTTGTATCCAGTATACAACTTCTTCCCGTCCAAGTGATTGTGCACGCGTTAAGGAATACCTCAGTACCGATTGCCGGGTGGTGGTACAAGTCCGCCAACGGGCCACTTTAGGTCTATTTAACATCACTAACACGTAAAAAGGAGGTGGTAGACAAGGACCAGTCGACCGAGGCAGTACCACCCGCTAGCTTTTCCCAGGGTGTCTTATAAATGTCCGCATGTTTCCACACCTAAGCTATGCAGTCGGTTATCTACCAAAACAAAGAAATTAATGATGATGGATCCCTCGAGCACTAAGAACTCCGGACGTAAACTCACTCCACTCTCGGAATGTCCGGGTGGAGGGTGGGCTCGAGGGAACAACATCGAAGATAAAATTTGTTTTTCGAACATCTGCGGGATAAACAGCAACATTGATGCTGTTCATCACTACCTGCAATCCAATCGTCCCGCCGTGCTTTTCTTGGCGGAGACAAAAATCTCAGAGACTGCACCGATTAACCATCTCAACTTCCCAAACTACGAGGTGCACTCCAATCTGAGAAAGAACGGGGGAGTTGTGGCTTTTGTCCGCAGCAGTCTTTCCTGCTCCAGGGATCTTTCTTGGAATCAGACCGGAAGGACATTATGTGGCTTCGCCTCAACTCCAAAACATCACCCAAATTTATTTGCTGCCTTTATCACTCTCCCTCGAACCATAACTGGGATGACCTACTCGAATACCTCGCCGTCCAGATCGACTTCCTGAACATCAATCACCCCGCTTCAGAGGTAGTTCTTCTCGGTGATTTCAATGCCCATAATGAGCTTTGGTTGGGCTCAAATAAGACCGATGCAGCAGGTCGTGCAGTCGAAGCGTTCGCTCTTACTCAAGGGCTGACCCAGCTGGTGACGAGCCCTACTTTTTTCCCCCGCGTCTCGTCACACGCCAGTAGCCTGCTGGATCTCTTTCTGACCACGCATCCTGCCCCTTACAGCACTGCTGTCCTGTCCCCCCTGGGTAACTCAGATCACGGTGTAGTGGAGGTTAGGTTTCTGTCAGAAGCCGCTGTGGCAGCAGAAACTCGTACAGGCCGCAAAACTTGGCATTACGGACATGCCGACTGGGAGGGGCTCAGAGACTTCTTCTCTAGCTTTCCTTGGAGAGATGTCTGTTTCACTGACGCGGATGCGTCGACTGTCTGTTCTTCAATAACCGAAATTATCCACGTCGGAATGGAGGAATACATCCCTCACACAGTGAAAGTTCCTAAACCAGGGTCCATCGGCTGGTTCAACAAATCGTGTGACACTGCTCGCCAGCAGAAGATCAAGGCCCACAGAACCTACTTACAAAACCCCACTGTAGAGAACAGACAAGCCGACGTCGAGTCCAGAAACAAATATAACGAAGCGGTTCGCAATGCCAAAAACCAGCATGATATAAAAGTTAGGCACAGGGTAATGTCGCAGCGCAATGGCAGTCGGTCTTTCTGGACGCTGGCCAAGCAGATTGAAAAGAACTTCTCACACAGCAGCCTTCCACCACTTACGTGTCAGGATGGAACTATTGTATTTGACTCAAAGGCCAAAGCCGAAGTGCTAGCCAAGATCTTTGCTGCCAACTCCACCATGGACGTCCCCACCAACGCCCAAGTGCCGTCAATTCAAAGGGTTCCCCACACTATGCGGGAGGTAACATTCAGGCATAAGACCGTAAGACGAGTGCTCTTGTCGCTCGACATCAACAAAGCTTCTGGTCCGGACTTGATTCCTGCCTATGTACTGAAGAGATGTGCAGCGGAGCTTGCTCCAGTTCTTTCGCGTCTCTTCCAGATATCTTATGAATCCGGCACCTTCCCAGAAAACTGGAAATTTGCTCATGTACAGCCCATCCCAAAAAAAGGATCTAAGACCGACCCTTACAACTACAGGCCTATAGCTCTGCTTTCTGTTATAAGTAAAGTGATGGAGAGGTGCATAAATCGCGAGCTTCTGGACTACCTCGAACGTCACAGCTTGATTTGCGACAGGCAGTACGGTTTCCGGCACCAACGATCCACAGGGGACCTCCTAGCTTACGTCACGCAATTGTGGAGTAAACTCATCCAGTCTCATGGTGAGGCTCATGTCGTTGCTCTTAACATCACGAAAGCGTTCGATCAGCTGTGGCACGCCGCCCTCTTAAGCAAACTTCCATCCTACGGCCTCCCAGAAAAGCTTTGCAGATGGGTGGCTGACTTTATCTCTGGCCGCAAGATATCCGTCGTAATTGACGGGTTCTCCTGTTCATCCCACAACGTCAACGTGGGTGTTCCCCAGGGATCGGTCTTGGCTCCAACACTGTTTCTATTACATATCAACGACCTCCTTTCCTGCACGATCAACCCAATCCACAGCTTCGCTGATGACAGCACTCTACATGCAGGAATTCAGAGTGACAAGCCGATCTCTGCCGCTGAGCTGGAAAAAAGAAGACTAGCGACGACTTCCTCTCTAACAAGAGACCTGGAGGCTATCACTGCTTGGGGACGCAACAATCTTGTACAGTTCAATGCTTCCAAAACACAGTACTGTACTTTGACGAACAAAAAGCGTCCTAGCGCTCATACAGTTTCGATGGACGGTCGAGTTCTACCAAAGAGCCATTCATTTCGGCTGGTCGGAGTCCAGATCACCGAGGACCTGATCTGGCACGAACACATCTCTTCAATAGCTGCAGCTGCTGGGAAAAAGCTAGGCTATTTGTTTAGGGCTAAAAAGTACTTTTCTCCGCATGACCTTCTCACTCTATACAAGGCCCAGATAAGGCCTAGCCTCGAGTATTGCTCACACATTTGGGGTGCTGCCGCCCCGATTACATTGTCCATGCTCGATGCTGTCCAGAGGAGGGCGGTCCGACTGATCGATGACTCTTCTCTAACAGACAGTCTCGGGACTCTTTCGCACCGCCGGTTCGTCGGCGATCTAGCTCTTTTCTATCGCTACACCAACGGGCTTTGCTCCTCAGAGCTCTCTTCCATGATGCCGCCGTGCGATGTGCCTGCCAGACAGACCCGCCTGACTTCGGCGTCCCATCCTAACCGTGTCAAGCTTCGTACATCCAGAACTGGCCGATACGACCGCTCCTTTGTCCCGAGGGTGTCTAGATTATGGAACAATCTACGGGAGGGAGCTTTTCCCAGTCCTACTAACCTTAGGCAGTTCAAAAATCGTATTAACAAAATTTCTTTGGGATCATCATAGCAGCCGCGGTGTTCCGGCATTTAGGCTTCTGCCTGCGCGGCTGATTCGATATAAAAAAAATGATCAAGAATCTCATAAAATGGTCGCATTTTGACGAGATCATGATGTGCTTTGACCAGATCATTGATAACATATCGTCCTGCTAATCGTTTAACAATATGATCAACTAAATGTGCTGTTATTTCATGGATAGGTCAAGTATGTTTGATTAAATCGTAAAATAAATACATTAGTTACCGATTTTGTCGTTAATAACAAAGTTGTTTTTCGAAGTGCAAATTCTAATAATTCGTTATCAAATGACGAGGAAAGTGAGACCAAAAGAAGATAATCACCAACCAGGGATTCCCTTTTGTTATGTAATAATATAAATAAAAATAACAACTGGATGCGCAACTAATTTCTTGCTTTGAATACATCTCAAGTAGGCGTATTTGAGACAAGAAACCAATGGAATGGTTAACGGTACATATTACTAGTACATTGATAACTGCAGCATCATGACGTTTAGGCAACACGTAGAACTACAAAACGAGTTCACAACAAGTGTCCATCAGCTGGTACTAAGTTGACATCTTGTAGAAAAACCTACGTTATGAAAAAAACCTACAAAATGTCACTTTTCAAGATACGTAATACCCCTGCCGATGAAAAATTTGTGGAATTCGGAACGTGTTTCATAGGTTAGTAATCCTAAATTATATTCATTTATTAGAAGTCAAAAAGGTGTGCTAGCTAAAATATTGTGTTTATATTTTTCTGAGT